GTCTTTGCAACTTTACAGATCTTCTTTATGCACCAAGAGCTTGTAACACTCCAAAGAGAAAGGAAAAATTGAAATCGAATCATATGACCCCTTTGAGGGTTTTAGAATAGAATTGAAAAGGCAAGTGAAAGGTGCAGTCTGAGAGGAACAAAAAGAGGAGTAGTATGTGAGGTCATCGTTGTATTCGGCTAAATAAAAAGATAAAATACAACTATTTCAAAAGTCACGGGACAGTCTCGGCTCATGAAAACCAGGTGCATTTCAGAACTCCAGATGCTCCAGATCAATCAAAGGCAGGTTAGACAGAGAGATGAGAGAGAAAAGGATAATGTGGTGATCAGGCATGCAATGCGCAAGGGAAGAGACGAAATGAGACTGCTCATATCAAACTGATGGATCAGGCTACTTACGATAGCGGAGAGTCAGTTTCATTGCTGCCAGGCAGGGTCATTGAGATTGGACACAGGTAGGGTGGGGACCGGGTACATGATGTACAGTGTGATGGACAGATGAAGTGATGGATGAAAGGATTGGAGTGAGAGAGGGAAAATTAGATAAAGCTTCTATGTTATGCATTAGAGAGTGGCTTCTGACACAAGACCGAAAGCCTGATCTCTCATCTTCATGATTTAAAACCATACAAAAACCACAGGACATCAGAAAACTGGCACCAACAAACATAAAAATATGTAGATCACTGCTAAACTCATGGATATACAGCAGAAAAAGTGCACAAATACACAACTCACACCAGTACAAATTACCAAGTCACACTATCAAAACACACACTGCCTTTCAAAAGTTTGGAGTCGGTGAGATTGTTAATGTTTTTGAAAAAAGTCTCTTATGCTCACCAAGGTTGCACATAATTAATAAAAAAATACAGTAAAAACAGTAATATTGTAAAATATCATTACAATTTTTAATATTTTTACATATTTTAAAATATAATTTGTTCCTGAGATAGCAAAACTGAATTTTCAGCATCATTACTCCAGTCTTCAGTGTCACATGATTCTTCAGAAATCATTCTAATCTGATAATGTGCTGCTCAAGAAACATTTCTTATTATTATCAATATTGAAACAGGTTGTGCTGCTTAATATTTTTGTGGAAACTATGATTTTTAGGATTCTTCGATGAATAGAGTTCAAATGAAAAGCACTTATAATAGAAATAGAAATCTTTAATAGAAAGATAATCGAAATAGAAACCTTTTGTAACATTTTAAATGTCTTTACTGTCACTTCTGATCAATTAAATGCGCCCTTTCTGAAATAATAATTTAATTTCTTTAAAAACAATTGACCCGAAACTTTTGAAGGGTAGTTCACCCATAAACCAGGATCCCTAACTGAGCATTCCCGTCATCATTCCCATTTGAAAACCACACAAAAATCCAGCTGGATCCACAGAAACTCAACATAACATATGCTACCACTGAAGATTTCGAAAACCTTCGATTTACATCATCATCAGATCAATACTGTGAAGCTGAGGAAGAGTAAGACTATATCCAGACTATGATCAGACATCCTTGGGAAGTCTTTAGCCTCTTGAGCATTAGCAGATAGTGCTGGCCGAGACAAGCGTGGCTGTTTGACAGGCATTATGGCAAACGTGTGTCATGCAGTTCATGGGAGGAGGGAGAAGACACAGTTAGGTGCGACAGGTCTTACCCAGACAGCTCGCTACCCCTGGCCTGGGACTGGCCAGCAATGGCATCCATAATAGCATCCTGGGAGTACATGCTGATGGGGGTGTTGTACTGCGCATGGATGATGGTGGCCTTGCCTCCAGGCCCCTTCACCTCAATGGGTTTGTTGGTGGAGAGTGCAGTGTCCTTCAGAGCTATTGGGTTGAAGCTGGGCAGGTATTCATTGCTGTACAAGTGAGGGAGAGGTGATAAGGGATGAGTATGAGTAGAAGAGAGACAAGAGAGAAAACAGGGAGGTTAGACAGAGAGAGTGAGATGAAGAGTATGTGAACAGTGAATTGGGAGGGAAAGGTAAGAACCCAGTTGATAATATAAGCATATGTTGTGTTCTGGATGCTGGCGTGCTGGTATTTCAACAAAGCTTCTTGATTAGATTAACCACCAGAAAAACCATGCTGGTCGACCAGTTCTGGACCAGCATGGAAATTCATGATGGAAAGTGTTACAGGTGAGACAAAATGAGTTAAACCATAATATGATAATAATTAAATAGGTAAATAAATAAATAAAAGGCTCAGTCTAATTTTTAAGGCAGAAACAAGACATCAAAAACACGCTTCACACAGCAAAAACTTACTATGGCACACAACACACACAATTACTTATTGTATGTGTAACTACAGGAAGCAGTACAACATAATATACTAAACAGGGATGGGAATCAGCTAGAATTTAAATTCCAGATTCTAATTCCTCTTAACCATTCCAGTTCCTCAACGGCTCTTTTAGTGATTCTTTTAGTAATTTCAACAAATAAATATTTGAAAAAAAGGATGCCAAGATGACTTGAATAAATTAATAAATGTTCAACAATTCTTGGAAAAGATTGACAGTACAGTAACGCATACATGTGCAAGAACTGTTAACAGAACTGGACATCATTTAATTATGTTTTTTTTTTTTAAACAAATGGAATTCAATTGTGAATAAAGGTGCATTCATGGCATGTCGGAATTACAGTAGTTAAGACTTGTACTCTTACCACATGACCACCACATCATCGTGCAGAAACACTCAAAATAGCAAGGGCTTCAGCAGTAAGATAGTTATGCAATTATTTCATAATAATTCTGTTTAATAATTCCTATAACTGATTATTGTTAATATCTTAATAATGCATGAATAATCGGAAAATAAAAGAGATAAAATACAATTTAATGTAGCTATCAAAGAGTTAAATAACCAATATCCCACTAAATAATTAACTATAAACTATAATTATTATTAATACGGCATTTGATTAATGACTTTTACTTGTTATATTGTGGTTTTATCTATTGATTACTGAAATGACACACATTAATTTTGCCATTAGTAGTGTACACAACTAATAGTCCTGGGTTGTCATCTAGTAAATGTGGTAATTACGACATGGTGTGAACACAGCATAAGAAACAGTTCTTGATTCCCAAACCAAACACTACGAGTATACTAACTGAGAAGTGCCTAACGAGGACCAATAAAATTATGATAAACATATTCTCAAAGCTTAACATGAGTTCAGCAAGCAAACCTCTCGAGTCTCCTAAAACACACTGCAGCACAGTGCCAACTGGGATTCTCATAAGTACATATTCCAAAGATTCTGATATGCTTCTCTGTGTTGTAGTATAGGTTTACATTAAGCAATAGTACATCATTAAAGCAAGCTGTGATTGCACAGGATGACAAATCTCACGAACCACATTTTATACCACAAAGGCAGTTCCAAACAATTCCATGCACGTATACCACACAGAGCACTACAACGTTATGCCAGGAGGCTGTTACTAACTTGGCAGGACTGTTGGTAATAACCTACAATGGGCGAAAGGAAACAGAAACAAGGGCATTGGTTAGCAACTCACATAAACTTAACACTGGTTGTGCCAGTGAAAGTTCTTCAAGATGAGGAATCTCATCAGATTTTCAAGATGCAGTGTGTAATTTCAGAATTGTACAAATAATGCCTGCTCAAACACTTCCTGTCTTCCACAGGATGTCCTGCCCTAAACTCAAGCCACTGGTTGACCCAACATTGACCCAGTCGGGCTGCTCAAATAGACAAATTCTGCTTGTGGCACAGAAATTACACACCAATGTGTGTGTGTTTGGCATGAGTGATATGACATGTTTGTGCACATAGTAGCGAGTCGCCTTTCAAAGAGGCAAATAAATAAATAACTGAAGGTGAAAGATGTGTCACTGACCACAACTGGCAAAAGAGAAATACATTTTCATAAGAGTGCCTCCCTGCAAAGATGTGACAGGAGGGAGTGAGGGGGGATTGTATCAGTGTAGTTAGGAAACTGAACCCTGAAATTCCATGACCTTTTATAGGGAGAGCCGCGACAGGTGCTTTCTCACCCGTCTCTATCCGTACCACTGGATGGCCTGAGATTTCCTCTGTGCTGAGGCACACGCTAAGACCCTTTTCACCGCATATGAGGAAGTGAGTAAACGGAGAGGGGTACAGGACATTGTCGTCCATTTACCTAATCCACCACAGCACTGCCAAAGTGCATTGCTTTGAGGTTAAAACACAAAAGTGAAACTGTCAAACTGGGAAAGTGATATGGTGCATTTATTGTCTCAATACAACAGCTTGCTTTGCTTATCAGAACATGAATTTATGCAGATACAAATCTAGGGTCTGTTTTCAAAAGTTTGTCTGATTTTTAAATGTTTTTGAAAAAAAGGATCTTATGCTTACCAAGGCTGCATTCATTTGATCAGAAATACAGTAAAATTGTGAAATATTATTACAATTTAAAATAACTGTTTTCTATTTTAATATATTGTAAAATGTAATCTATTCCTATGATGGCAAAACTGAATTTTCAGCAGCCATTTCTCCAGTCTTTAGTGTCACATGATCCTTCAGAAATCATTCTGATATATTTTGGTGAAAATTTCTTATTATTATCATCAGTGTCTTACTATTATCAAAACAGTTGTGCAGCTTAATATATTTGTGGAAACCATAATACATTTTTTTCAGGATTCATTGATAAATAGAAAGTTCAAAAGAACTGAATTTTTTTTTTAATAGAAATCTTTTGTAACATTATACATGTCTTTACAGTTACTTTTGATCAATTTAATGCATCCTTGCTAAATATAATTAATAGGTGTTAATTTCTTCCAAAAAAACAAAAAACAAATCTTACTGACCCCAGAATTTTGAACGGTATTGTATTTTCCATTTTGACAGCTAATTTTTTCAATCTAACTCCTCTGGTGGATGTATTATCTGGTATTACATGATCACTGTACCTGAAAGAGGGCCGCTTCCAACTGAAGCCTCAGCACAAATTTGTCTTGCACATTCCTTCAGAGGCTTGAAGCTTTAACTAGATCCTCCTCTGGCCTGCTAATGCCAGTGGGGGATAGGGTCAATGTAACAGATGTAACCTCTCTTTTCTGAATGTTGCGTGGCTGCTGTCATTCTTCTGTCAAGAGCAACGTTAGCAACCAGGTGGGGCTGAACTATAACCGACCCACTAATTCTAACCTCTTTTAGAAATTCTAAACTGTTAATTTAGCAATAAACACTATATTTCTTAAATAGGATTGGTTAAGGTTTACTGCACCCGGCTGCTAGCGTCAGATCTATGATTACATACCAACTAGGCATGCCTGACCCCGAGCTCTTAACCCTCTCTTGCAGCATGACCATCTCTCGCAATGTCTCTGCAGAGTACAGACCGATGGGGGAGTTATACTGCTGGCTTTTTTGTCCGGAGGTGGATTTGTCCCTCGGAGCAGCTAAATGGCTTTGAGCAGGAACAGAAGCTTCTCCGCTACTGCTAACCACAGTGCTACAGGACTGGTTGGTGTGCTTGCTTGAGTAGCTATAGTTTGTCTCAGCAGAAGTTGAGAGGGCCCCATTCATTTGCAAAGGCTGATCCTTAAAGGGGAACGTGCATGTGTGTGGACAGTGTTGAGAAAGAAAGAACAGAAGGAGCTGGTCAGAGGAAAGCTTAGAATGATAACAATTTAACTGTTCACACGACGTAAACTGTGTAAATTAATTTGAAAACTGATGACGATGTTTTACTGAAAGCTAAAGGAATAGTTCACCCCCAAAAAAATGTAATTCAGTCATAATTTACAGTGTGCACCCTTGTGTTGTTTGAAAAACATAATTTTTTTGCAGAATGTTTATTTTAAAGCTTTATAGCCCATATTTTGTATTCATTAAACTGAAGAACAGGAAGGACATTTAGAAAAATACCTCCTTTTTGTTAAAACAGAAGAAAGTCTGATCATATTGATTTGTAACCACATGAAGGTGGGAAATGGCTCATTTTTTGATGAAACATTTTTTGAAATTCTTTACATTCTTAAACATAATATGAGTTTGTACACTACCATTCAAAAAGATCAGTTTAATAGATTTTTTTTTAAGACATCTTGCTAACCAAGACTGCATTTATTTGATCAAAACTAAATGTTCAAAAATGTTATTACAGTTTAAAGCAACTGTTTCTTATTTTATTATACATTTAAAATTTTATTTTTTTTGATGGAAAAGCTGCATTTTCAGCAGCCATTACTCCAGTCTTCAGTGTCACATGATCCCCTGGGAATCATTCTAATTTGCTGATTTGATGCTCAAGAAACATTTCTTATTATTATCAATGTTGAAAACAGTTGTGCTGCTAAATATTTTTGTGGAATCCGTGATCAACTATGAAATTTTATAAATGTCTTCACTGTCACTTTTGATAATTTATTGCATCTTTGCTGAGTAAGAATGTTTTTGAATGATAGTGTATGTACTAATCAGGGTTTTGAAACAGAGGCTTTACGAGCTTTTCTTTTGCGTGACTAACACAATATTTTTAATGAAATGCCAAACTAATTGTTAACAGCATTACATTAACAATGCTGTTAACTTTTTGCTGAGTATGCAAAGTGAAAACCAGCAGGGGGCATCATAAGGCTTTTTACATAGAACAGAACATTTGTATATTATCATATCATACATGATAAAGGCATCCTGAATTGAGGGAGAACCAAAGACCAGAATCTATTATCTTACCCTCTAAAAAGAATCTTTAACATAATCCTATAAAAAATCCCCTTTTAACTGTGGACTTCAGCTGAAGCTTGCTCTGAGGCCTAAATTATACTTTCTCTAATTCTGACATTTCATGAACATTCATGTGGAATGTAATGTGGACATTCAATATGGACTTAAAATATCTGAATGCATAGACATATACTGTGTGTAGATGTATGTAGAATGCATGCCAGTGAGTGGTGCATGAGTAACGTGTGACAGACCTTCTGATGGGGGATCACAGGCATAGGGGAGTCAATCCTTGGTGTTGTCATGGGAACTGGAGTGTGTCGCTTTGACCTGTGATAAAATTGAGTAAACATTTGAAGTAAAAGACAGACTGTCTGGATCACATCTTTTATGACAAAATTGCAGTGTCCAGTGGTGAACTATAAACATCTTACACACAGTTCTAGATACATGATGCAGCCATATACAATCTTGTGGCAAAAATCCACAGCAGAAGCTTTTTTTTTTGCAGCTATCAGAAAAATGCTTTTGTCTAAACAGACTTTGTGCCAAATTGAACCTTTTCAGAAGAACAAAAATCTAAACATTACTTGCCTTGTACACAAAAGTTAAAAAGAGAAAAGAGAAAAAACTAACATACTTTATAGTGCACATTGTTTGAAAATTTTGCACATTTTGTGCAAAAAGAACAAAGAACAACTGACACAAGAGAAGTCCTTGAACACAGTAGAGGTTGACGACAAAGTAAATAACGTATCTTGACAAGTGTTAAAGTCTATATCACCCTACGTGTCTACTTTATAACAACAACAACCCTTGCAGAGGGAACTCTGGGATCTATTAAGAGTGTTAAAGCAAAGGAAGGATAGTCCAGTGTAATCCCTGCAGGTATGCTCAAAGAGGGGCCATAAAGGTGAACATGCATTTTTTGGGGTTTTGCTCATGATAAAGTGAACTAACAGTAAACCTGACTTAAGAACTAAGACACATCAGAATTGTAACCTGCACTGGAGAGATCAAGGATGTTTTTATGAACTCATATATTTCATGTATCTCACAGATGACTGGTGCAGATATTGTCCATGAGGGAGATACACTGAATGGGTCACACATCAAACATAACACAGAAAGCTACAAATAAATGAAAAAAGAGATTTTTCTTAGTAATCTGAAGCTTCATCTATTGATAATTGATATTTGTACTACATGCCTAGAATAAATGACAGATATCCTTCAATCCACTCTTTTGATTAGATGATCACTTTACCCAAGAGCCTTCAATGTGTCCCAATTATGACTTTTTTCAGCTCAAATCTGATGCTGTTAACATATGAAGCTGTTTACATGATCTTTTAAATGTGGCCCATGCCAGACACTGTCTAAACAATCACGTAACACACATCTAGCCTGTCATGTTCATCATAACACCATCAACACATTTCATAATGTAATATGATATCATATTTTGTTACTTGAAATAAGCTATTAGAACTTCTTCCAGTCTTCCAGTTTAAAATCTGCTAATGCTAATGCATTAGCATTAGAATTAACATTTTAGTTTCTACTGCCAATGTTTAAAGCAAGTGAAAAACATTATTTGGCATCAGTATATACACTACCAGGGTTTAAATGACACCCTGGGTCATTCTTGGTGTACCCAAAATGGTCCCACACTATCGACAGGCATTTCTCTGGTGGAAATAAAGCTCCGCTGTTTGGTCCCTCTGTCACAGTTAATATAATGCATGTATTAGCCTCCGTGCCTCTGATAAGCACGTCATTTTAAGCTGGTGCACCGCTAGTGTAACTTTGTTTTCGTTTGCGCAAGCTGCAACAGTTGCATTCTGTGTAACAGAAACACTTGGTTTAGCGGAACCTTTATGATTAATTAACCGTGACGTTTTAAAGCGCGGTTAATCGCGAAACCGGTTAATCACTGCATCCCTATGTGAAATATTAGCAATTTAAATTCTTTTTTTCTATTTGCATTTTAAAATATAATTTATTTCCATTATTTCAGCCTTTAGAGTCACATGGTCCTTCAGAAATCATTCTGATATGTCGATTTGGTGCTCAAGAAACATTATCAATTACTTTTTCAAAAGTATTAACATATTGAACTTTTTTCTTTTGGATTCTTTGATGAATATAAAGTGTGAAAATTATGAGAAAAACAGCATCTATTTAAAATGCATCCTGAATGCATGCTGAATAAAATTATTAATTCCTTTAGAAATCTTACTGAATGGTAGCATATATTTTTACACTTAAAGTGCATCAATATGTTTTTTAAATGCTTTTCCCCCTTTATTTATTACCTTTCAGTGTAGTACTTCACGCAGTGCAATTCATGCATTAATTTAATTGGTAAATCTAGCATACAATTAAGATGAATACAGAGCTAGTTAAAAAGGGGTCATATGATGCTTTTTTAAAGATCATTATTTTGATAAAGTGCTTTTGCTTTCGCCTAGAAACACACAGCGTCTCCCTGACATGGCTGCATCAACACTAACTGCGGTTACTGAAACCACGCCTTTCTTTGCGTGCACATTTGGGCAGCATTATGCAAATATTTCCACATAGTGAGGTAGATATGTGGGGGCGTGTTAGAATGAGCCGTTTTAGGGGGGCGTGGCAGAGTCTTAACTTTGATAAAGTATATCTCTTTGGTTTTGAGACTTTAGTCTTTGCAACTTCAGGGATCTTATCTATGCACAATCAGCTTGTAACACTCCAAAGAGAAAGGAAACCTTTAAATCGCATCATATGACCCCATTAAATGAATGTAAATAAAGTTGCATGAATTCCGATCTAACTGAAAAGTTCGAAAATCATATCCATATAAGAATAAGAAAGTGATCCAGATCAACTGCAGTGTGAATGTAACCTTGTTTAAAGCTATGCTGTGTCAGTGCTGGGCAGCCTTGAGTTGGAGCACAAGGCAAAAAGAAAATAGCTTATCAAGTTAATTGGTGTATGAGGTTGCCAATGGATGAATGGACACTCGCCAGAGGCTGTGAAGAAAGATTCTAGAAGCTGCAGCTTCTGAGTGCATGATATTCATTGTCTGTTTTGAAGAGCTTTTTAAATGTGTGGATGCTTGGCTATAGGACGCTTTTCTAGTAATGCTGAAAATGAGTAACATGAATCAGCAGTCAGTCTGATCTGATAAAACCAGCGAGTTGTCAGATGTGTCATAACACTCTTTATGTCTTCTTTTTCGACTAACATGAAGGCAATAAAATCACATGACCTTTCCCTGGCTAAACACATACAGAGCTCATCTGAACCCACATAAAATCTCGGTCACATATGTTTGTGATATAATGAAGCTGCAGTCTGTTTACGGTTCATAAAAAATTAATCCCATGATTGACTACACTGAACAGTCAAGGCCTGCTTTTATTACACTGCAGTGAATGAGCCAACAATAGCATCTACATCACAGTAACCCATGAGACCCACTATCATCTGTATTCACTATAATTACTTAAATTAATAATTTGCTTGTAGCTACAGAATTGACAGACCACACAAGAGGATGAGAAAAACTAGGCTGCCCCAGAGTTGTCAGTGCAGATACAGAGCGTTACAAACTTATGGTCGCCAAGACAGATTAAATAGCATCACAGTGTAAACATGGCAGATCATCATTTTATTACTTTCACCAGAATGGAAGAAACCTAAACGGTAATCATCCTGGGATGTTTTCCTTGAGCAAAACTTCCTGGTCTCATTTCAATCAGGACAGATATTTTAAATTGTAATAATATTTCACAATATTACTGTTCTGACTGCACTTTTGATCAAATAAATGCAGTCTTGGTGAGCATAAGAGACTTCTTTCAAAAACAATAAACAAATCTTAGTGATCTCAAACTTTTTAACAGTTACACACACACACACCTCCAAAACACTAACAATGCACTGTACCTTTGCATGGTGAGAGCCAGATTGAAGTTGGCAGACTTGATCTTGTTTTGGGCCTCCAGGTGTGTCATCCCCTCTGTGCTGACCCCATCAATTGCCACGATGATGTCACCCTGAATCAGGTTGCTGGAGGCTGACTTGCTCCCTGGTGTAATCTGCCACAAACCAAACAAGCTTTTAAATTAAATACTGACAGGTCAGCACTTCTGCAAACACAATACTCAGACAAGCTAATAATTTGATAACGTAGGTTGGATGTATGAATAAAACTGAAAAAAAGGGAAGGCTCTGTCATCTACAGGTGACATCTTGATACCCTGTCAATAAAATCAGTGGAGGATAAAACCACATTCGGATTCTGAATCCATGACAGCTGGGTGCACAAAGAAATCTTATGCACACATGCATGCTTAGTGCTGGAACAGACAATGTGTTCCTCTTGCTAAAAATAAGACTGAGTTTGCAGAATAAAGTCACATGCTTAGTCTACAGATCCGAAGACTGAAATAATGTGTATGAAGTATATAATGTAAACGAAACAAAGAACACGTCCGGGTCATATTTCGTATGTTTTAACAGCCTTTGTGAGATTCATTAATACCTTTATATCTTCCATAGAAATTATATAAATTTAGAATTTGTTATATACACTACTGTTCAAAGGTTTGATGTCAGAAAGATTTTTGTGAAACAAATTAATACTTTTATTCAGAAAGGATGCATTAAATTGACTGAAAGTGACAGTAAAGACATTTATAATGTTACAAAATAAATGAATTAAATAAATGAATGTATCATGGTTTCCACAAAAATATTAATCAGCACAACTGTTTTCAACATTGATAATAAGAAGAAATGTTTCTTGAGCACCAAATCAGCATATTAGAATGATTTCCGAAGGATTATTTGACACTGAAGACTGGAGTAATGACTGCTGAAAATTCAGCTTTGCCATATAAAAAAATTCAGCTGAGATATTACACAATATTACGGTTTATACTGCACTTTTGATTAAATAAGATTAGACGATGAGCTGGTTATACATTTGTGTGTGAAAATTTTTATGTAATAAAAACTTAAAATTCTTAATGTTACTAAAATTAAGGTTCATTTGACCTCATTTAGATTTATTTATTTAATTTGATTTTGGGGTTAAATACAACATTCTTGAAAAGTTTAGTGAGAATTTCAGAATTTAAATAAGGACATCAAAACCTGTCCTTAACATCACTGGATGATTGACTGATTAAAAAAAATTCTACAGGAACTGGTAACTGAAAACTGTTGCTTTTAAAAGATTGTTCATTTATGCAGACAACTTTTTAAAAATATTTTGAGTCAATTCTTTTCCTCCATGACATACGAAGCATGTTTCAGACCATCATTGGTATTCTGTTATATATAGTAGATACATGAAAACCTTCAGGCTGCACAGATGGGTGGCATTGTGTCATCTCTGTACCATAATACTAGGTAATCAAGATTTAAAGTCTGTTTCTTTTCTTCTAAATCTGGTGAGGGTTCAGCTATGTTTTGAGCCAGAAGCATCTCTTTAACCAAAGAGCATCTCTTTAACCTGAATGTGCATGGCTGAGAGCCGGCCATGGAGATGTCTAAGGACTGTCTCATTTACAAAAAAATTGTGAATGCAAAATGAATAAAGCTGATTTCAGATGTGTGCATGTTTCTCTCTCTAATCTCTTTTGGCTCGATTATGAAGTTTTGACACTGTGTTATGTTTTCCCGAGTGACTATTAGTAAACCTCCCATTGAGAAGAACTGACTGTTTTTTTGGGGCTTTTTTTTTTTTGAAGCATTACAAGCAACAGCCAATGATAAGTGGCAAGTGGAATTTTAATGCAAAGCCACTCCCTGTACATACGGGTATACAGGTGCAGTACATGTACAGTAAATTAACATACTTTCCAGAACGCCAACAATTCACTAAAAGTTTTTTTTTTATTGGTCTTATGAAGTATTCTAATTTGTTGAGATAGTGAATTGGTGGGTTTTTGTTAAATGTGAGCCAAAATCATCACAATTAAAAGAACCAAAGACTTAAACTACTTCAGTCTGTGTGCATTGAATTTATTTAATACACACGTTTCACAATTTGAGTTGAATTACTGAAATAAATGAACTTTTCCACGACATTCTAATTTATTGAGATGCACCTGTATAAGATGGCGGCGTGCATCCACTCATTCAGATTTTTGCTTCAGAGCCGATCTCTTCGTAAGTGCCTTTCTCGTATGTTTTCAAGAAAGAACGATCAACAAGAACTACGGTCTCTTTGGTGACACTGTCGAGGAATTTGCCCAGCAGTTCTTGGCAGTCCAGAAGCAGATGGAGGCCATTAAGCACATCTTGCCTTGGCGGGACACTCTGGTTGCCAAACCACCGAGATCTGGTTCTTTGTCTGCCCATCGCCAAGGGCGCCCCCCTGTGGTGTCAACATCTGCTCCGCCCCGACAAGAATCCAAGGACGAAACTCCTTAGCAGGGGTGTCGAACTTCCCACAGGAAGAGGGTGCAGCCTGCTTCTTAGGGCGCTGTTAAGACTTCCCAGAAGCCCATGAGGCGCCCATGAGACGGGCGACCCAGAGATGGAAGGAGAAGCTCTTTTGGGGCCACTAACATCTGGGCCCCCATTCACCAATGATGCTTGTTCCGCCGCTGACCCTTCGGTCAGCGGTACCCACATTCTCAATGAAAGAGCAATTTCCTTCATCTCTGGGTCAGATGTGTCGGGATCTGTCTGTGAACGATGCTCTGCTTCCTCACTGTCACTCAGTCTCAGCACACTGTTTTGCTACTCAAGAGGTTGCGGTTGCAGGATGCTCCACTTCCTCACACTTCCCTTGCTGCCTTCCCACAGGAACCGGGGAGTAAGGTTAAGAGCTTCTCCTCTGCCTCTACTTCGGGACGCCACGCTTCCCGAGTTGGGCCATCTTCCTCCCCTCTGCTGCCCCACCATGGGTACGTCAGGATTCGTCCCTATGGTGGCGCTTGCTTGGAATTTGGTGGCCTTGACTCTGTCAACATGAAAGCATGTCTCACGAATGAGCATGCTCAGTCGGTGCTGAATTGCCTGAATTCGTTCAGGGGGAAAACGGTGGTTCCTCTAAAGCAATTTCAGAGGCTCCTCATGCGCTCTCTTAACAGCTTACCCTTCCGGGAGAATGGAGACTCCATCCCCAGGATGTTCTGGCTGATTTGGAGTCGATTCAGGGAAACCCAGGTGGACGTGTTCGCTTCCCAGGAATCCTCCCACTGCCATCTGTTCTACTCCCTGACCGAGGTCCCCCTCGGCACGGATGCACTGGCACACAGCTGGCCCCAGGGTTTGCGCAAGTACGCCTTTCCCCCAGTGTGCCTCCTTGCACAGACTCTGTACAAGATTAGGGAGAACGAGGAGCAGGTACTGCTGGTTGCACCATATTAGCCCACCCGGACTGATCTCATGCTCCTCGCAACAGCCCCTCCCTGGAGAATACCCCATGAGGAAGGACCTTCTTTCTCAGGAGCAGGGCACTATTTGGCACCCACGTCCCGATCAGTTGAACCTGCGTGTCTGGCTTCTGGACGAGAAGTGGCGGACCTCACTGGCCTCTCATGGGCTGTGATAGGTACTATCACTCAGGCTAGGGCCCCCTCTACCAGGCAGGCCTATGCTCTGAAGTGGGGTCTGTTCGTTGATTGGTGTTCCTCTCACTGTGTGAGAGCTCATCCCACTCGAAGTGTTGCCATCTCCTGGGCATTGGTGCATCTGAACATCTGTAGAGCTGGGCGACACCTAATACCTAACACCTTTGCAAAATTCTATAATCTCCGGGTTGAGCCAGTTTCCTCCCGTGTGTTGGGTACGAACAGGTAATTTGAGGGTGGAACAGCTCGGTGTCTCGCTTGCAGTGCCATTCCTCTGGTTAGTATACTTGCACCTTATCTTCTTCCAGTAAGTTCCCCGTCTGGTGAATACTGGTCGATTTCCTCCAGCACCCTGCGGCATTCAGACTCAGCAGAGGAGTCTGTTGCCATTTCCAGTACTTGGGTTGCATTCCATTAGTCACCACTTTTACTGGACTAGGTGCCATACATGAGGTTCCCTTGATAATCCTGTATGTTCTTCGATGTTACGGTTTCCCTGGGTAAACCCACGTCTTTCCCTGGACCATTTTTTACTGTCAGTCCCTGTTGTGTTTGTTAGACTGTGCTGCGACCAGTCTTACTATTCACATTCCTTTTTGGATGCGTCTCCGCACCCCAACGGTTGCTGAAATCTAGTATTGTGAGAATGTATACTTGATATGTGATCTGGCTTATGGGGCATTGGGTAGGTTACGAATTGAGGTGCATCTGTCCTGACACACTTGCTTGTCAGCACCTGCAGCTTCAATTTTCATTACACAGTTCTGGTTGTGGCGCTTTCCATAGGTACCCCTAACGTCAGTGTCGACGTAACGTCGAACGTGACTGACTGAAAGGGAACGTCTCGGTTACATATGTAACCCTCGTTTCCTTAAGGAGGGAATGGAGACGTCCCGTCCCTCATGCCTCAACCGTGAACATTACAACGAATGTCGGGATGCTTTCTCGGCTCCTTAGCACAAACCTGAATGAGTGGATGTATGCTGCCATCTTATATACCCGTATGTACAGGGAGTGGCTTGGCATGCAAATTCCACTCACCAATTGTCATTGGCCATTTCTTGTAATAAAGAGGAGATTGGGGCTTCCTAAAGTGTCAATGTAACGTCTCCTTTCTCTCCTTCAGGGAACCAGGATTACATAAGTAACCAAGACATTTGTTGTCAATTATCCAAAACCTACCAAGCAGTAAGATTGCTAAAGTTTAGAAACAACAAAAGACGATTTTGAGAAAAATTAAGAATTTTTATTTTAGTCAATGGTGACTAAACATTTTGATTATAAACATACTTCAAAATAAGTCATACAGGTTTGGAATAACATGAGAGTGAGTAAATGATGACAGAATTTCCATTTTTGGGTGAACTATCCCTTCAAAGTGCTTCACTCTAAGCCACAACATAGAACAATCAAAACAACTAATGTATTGCAATATTTGTGCCCATATCTTTAGAAATTCTGTTATGAATTAACTTTAGCAGTAATAATAATAATTCTTTGGTTTTCAA